CCACAATGGTCTTCCCTACACGATCCAACCCTTCATCTGGACCACCCTTTATATCAGCAATCTTCAACTTTTTTCTAAATTCTCCAACTCTATTTCCCACTTCACTCTTCTCCTTCTCCAAAAATCCAACTTTTGCACTTTCGTTAGACTGTAGAGCTCCAGAAATCACACTGCAGAAGAACCTCCGGCGAGGCAAACCTGAAAGTTGAAACAAATGGTGGAACTTTGGAGGAATGGCATGAGGTTTTGTTATTGTTTTGAGGATTTCAGGGAGGTTACTAGGGTTTGATTTGGGGTAGAAAGACAGCAACCGAAGAGTAGACCCCGGGTTTAACCGGAGCGAAGTAGCTGGTCCTAAAGCAGCAATAGCCATATGGTTCTTGTTTTTTCAGTGAATAGAATTGTATTGGTCACTAAAGTATTTTAAACAAACTAAAACTGGCTTTTGATGTTATTCCATGGAACCCCCTGCAATATCAAGCAGAAAGTGATAGAATCATATATTCATCAAAAAAAAGAAAAAGATTTCAACTTTATACAAAGGATAATGTTTGGTTCACTCAGACAATGTCATTCCTTAGTTTAATGCTCTTTGCTTCCCTGGAATCAAGTAGTCAAATCATTCAAATTTCCATCATGAATTCCTAAGTAAAACAAACATTACTAAAGTAAAAAAGATAGAAACTTTATCCAAAAGGGTCGTATTTGGTTCACTCTAAGATTGAAAATGGAATGAAATCTCACTCCAATTCTTTGTTTAATTTTGTTTAGTTCACTAACATCAAGAATTACAATCCTTTCTTATTCCATCATCAATTCCTAAGGTTAAAAAAAATATACAAACAAACAAATATTGCCTAGATGAACAAACCGGAGCATCATAAAGAACAACAATAATAAAAAAGAAACTTTACAGCTCAGAAATACGAAGAAATGGACCAAAAAATCCAACTTTACCAAAAACTGGAAGAACCCAGTTGGTCTCTACTGTGTGGTACCATGTATGTGGTGTGAAGATGAAGTACTATGGCAACTCACAGCAATGGAGTATTGAAACTCACCTGTTACGACAGATGGAGAAACATGAGCAAGGGATTGTATGAGTGTTGGCGTCGAGAAAGAAGGGAATCGTTTGAGTGGAATGGGATTGGGTTAATTGTATAGGGCGATAAGGCCTGGATAGTTGATGGGTCTACACTCCCTTGTAAGTTCCTAAAAGAAAGTAGAAGTTTTTAAATTTTCTTATATTTTTCAAAGAAAAACCCTGTTTTGGGATGGGAACAATAATGTTGGAGTATTGTAATAATACTTTGTTTCATAGTCATAGTAACTAAATTGTAATTTTTTTTTATTAAATATTAATTAAAAAAATTTAATATAACCCGAATTTGATCCATGAATTAACAAATAAACCCAAGTTATAATTTTAAAAAAAATTCTAAAACATGTTGATTAAGAAGTTATTTAAAAGAAAATTGAAAACAACACAATTTAAAAAAAAATTATTTTAATAATAAAAGACAATTTGTTCAAAATAAAATCCAACTTAAATCCACATTATTATTTATTTCTGCATTTTAAAAATATTATTTTAAAAAATTTCTTAATTTTTTAATTTATTTTAAATTAATATATTTTTAGTGTTTTCAAATCATTTTAATGTACAAGTATATATTTTAACATAAAAAATTATTTAAAAAAATTACAATTATAATACCAAACAAAATTATGAACTCATCCTACCTTGTGGTGGAGGCTTGACTGAATTATTTTTTTTAATTATTATTTTATATTTATTTATAATATTATCAAGCTGATTTATTTGATACTTAATCATAAAAAATTTAATTGTAGAAAAATCTAGATAAAAACAAAAAGTTTATTTCCGTGGTCTTTTCTAGAATTTGAATTTTAAATGGTAAGTTGTATAAGAAACCTATTTATCATTAAGGCTATGTGATCGATCGATTATTATTTTCTTACAATTATCAATTTATTTGAAAATGCTTTTTATTGCAAAAATTATTTAAAGCAAAATCAATTTCCATAGCTAATAACTACTTTATCACAAATTAATATATCGAATTAACATCTTGAGTTGCTGGCTTAGATAAAGTTGTATAAGAATTTATGTTGGTATAAATATTTTAAAATAAAAAAATCTTTTTCTTGTATATTGAAAGTTAATATGTAACTTTTTAATATTTGAATGAAGAGTTTTATATAAAATAGAAAAATTATTGGGAAAAGAGATAATTAAAATTTTTTTTATTGTTGAACCAATTAGAATATGAATTGTTTATTTAAAATTTTAAAATGTAAAAATTGATTAACTAATACATTCTTCACAGTAAATTAAAAATAAAAAGGAAAAAAACTAAAATTTAAGAATTTAAGAATTTATTAATCATAAAAAATCATTCTCCAACTTAAAATTTTAAAACTCAAGTCAAGAAATAACTTAAAAACAAACTTGGATTGCCAGGTTATTTGGTCAATTTATAAATTATTATATTTATTTTATTAAAATAATAATATTTTGTTCTTTTAAGTTTTTTAGAAAGTATAGTTTTTTAAAAAGTATTTTTTACTCTTAAATACATTAGAATAATATTTTTTTTATTTTCAAAAAATTATTTTTGACATCAATAAATTAAAATAATCTAAAAATATAAAAAATAAAATATTTTTAAATATTTTCATAAATATTTTTATAACACAAAAACAAAGCATTTAGTATTTACCTATCTAAATTTGGAGAGGTTAATTGAATAATGAAAAGTTTTATTAAATTAATATTTAATTTAATTTAAATCCTAAATTTTCAAGGCCAAACGATCAATTCAAGTCTTAACATCTAGTTTACCATCTACATGTGAGGCTCTAATTGCCCTATGATGCAAGTAAAGAATAAAAAATCAAAGACTTCTTGAACGTGCCGCCCCGCTTAAATAATTCGCACTCTCTTTTTAGCACCCTCAAACCCGTTAGCCCATACACAGTTTGCGCGGTGCCTTTATAGAACAGAAGACCATCACCGGAATACCCAAGATCCGATCACCGGAAACTTGCTGACACCATCTCCAGGTCATATTCTTAGATCCATATTTAATACATCTTTCTGTATGTGGTTGTGCTTGTTTAAATGCTAATAGATTCGGTAGATTGAATGACTGGCATATATGTGTTTGTGTGTGTGATTTTTTTGGGGTTGAATTGGGAATTGGGGGTTAAGATTGATGTGGGACTTACTCAGATGGGTTGTTAAGATTTTGGGTTGACGAGGGAGTTTGTCATGGAGAGGTGGTTTTGTTGTTTTATTGGTAAAGTTTGGAACTTCAGAGGATTTATGAGTTGATTTATGGATGAAAAGGAAGTTTTTAGTGGCTTTTGAATGAATGTGATTAGTTTGGTTTCTAAAGAGGATTGGTAAGGGATTTTGTAGGTATGCAATTTTGGGTACGGTAATTTTTGTGAGTTGTGGTGTATGATGTCAATTGTTGAAGTAGAAGTGACGGTGCTGAGAGGTGCTTGATGAATTTTGGATTGGTGGGAGAGTTTTGAGAGGTTTAGTGACGGTGTTTAATTGTTTGGAAAAAAAGAGGATTATATTTGGGAATATAGGATGTGTGAGGATTTTGACTGTGGATGGGGCTGTGTTTTTATGAACAATGGGCATTCTGGAAGCATCCTTTTTGTGTCTGTTGTTTCATGAGCTCCATATGAGTGCATAGCTCGAGTCTGTGTCTGCTGCTTAGAATATGGTTGGATTACAAGTTACAATTGGGTTTTGAAAAAGTTTTGAATTTAAGCATCCATTAGTAATCAGTGCTTGATTGACTCAGCTAAGAGATATTCAATGCTAATAAGCAGTTCTTCTGCACAAACTTGTTCTGATTTCTCTCCCTCTCAAGTGCAGAAATGTATAACAATGTGGGACCTCAGCCTGGGGTGCCAAGACCTCCGACCAACCCTCAGCCCACTCCATTTGGGAATGCCTTCTATGGAGCTGGCTCGGGACTTATTAAAGGTGGACTGGGTGCATATGGAGAGAAAATTCTGGGATCGAGTTCTGAGTATGTGCAAAGCAATGTAAGTAGCACTCTGAGACTTTTATGTCAAACACCATTTTGGTTTAAGTTTGCTGTAAGCCAAACTGAATGTTGATGCTTGGGTTGAGCATGCGCTAGTCCCAGATTTGACTTATGTTGGACACTACAAGGCCTCATGCTAGTTTCTTTAGACTACTGACAAGGCACCATTTACATAAATGCTATGGGTTCATTTTAGACAGATTAGATTGTTGTAGTTTAGTTTGAGAGCTATGTGATTTTAGCTGACATTTTCTTTCAAATAAACAGATAAGTAGATACTTCTCTGATCCACAATACTATTTCCAAGTGAATGACCACTATGTGAGGAACAAATTGAAGGTTGTTCTTTTTCCTTTCCTGCACAGGGTAAGCAATCTAATCTAATGTTTCTTCTAGCTTGCACACCATCTTTTTCCTGTTGACGTGACCTTTTGTCCTTGCTATCCTTTTCTCAGGGACATTGGACAAGGATAACTGAGCCAGTTGGGGGAAGGCTTTCCTATAAACCCCCAATCTATGATATAAATGCACCAGACCTGTACATTCCGTTCATGGCATTTGGTACCTATGTTGTTCTTGCTGGCTTGTCATTGGGACTTAATGGAAAGTAAGTAGATTATATTCTCCAATCAGCCCAGCTTAGCCTTAATACCTACATGTGCTGGTGGCAAGCTTATCAATTTTTGCGTTGGATGCATCTATGAACAGCTTCTCTGTTAGCCCTATTTGTTCCCATCCAAACATGACCCATGCTATTTCATGTTCACAACCTTAATTTGTCATAGTCCCATACAGATTATTGGATAGCATTTTGGCAACTGCTTCTAGTTATTTTTGGTGTTAGCTCTGTTAGCAAAAAGCAATTTAAGCTCTTACAAATGTTGATTAGCACACAACTATATCATGTTGATCTGTCTGATAATAGTTCTAAAGGGTGGAAAAAAAATGCAACATGTTCACCTTTTCTTTTTTCTTACATGCAAGTGGCTATTTTACCAAACCTTCGCTGCTAGATGGAGAGGGTCATGAAGGGAAATCCTTTATTTTCTAAGTGCTCTTTTTGTATGGCAGTTTTATTGCTGTCTGTGGCAGCAGTCATATGGTGGCAATTTCGATAGTGTTGCTTAAAGATGTCATTCTGATTCCTGCATCTTGCACTACACCTTTGTCTCACTTTTTTTTTCCTCTTCCTTATTTTTTTGTGCATGTCAAGACTTGCATGTGTGCATCTGTAAGCTTCAATAAAGCAAGTAATTTCTCAGCCAGATGAACAATTACTTGCATGACATCTTTATTCAACCAGATCTTTTGTTTGTCTTTCTTTGGCCCTTGAATTTCCTTTATCTTCAAGTTTAGTTCCATTTGATTCTAGGTTTAGCCCAGAAGCTATCAATTGGCTGTTCGATAAGGGATTGTGTGACTGGTTTGTACAGGATGCATTTTTCAAACCAGCCAAACAATCTCTGGAATTGGATCGCAGCATTGAATTCCAACACCCTTTCTTATCTTTACTTCGGAAATTAATTTCATCTGAGCTCTCAAGTTTAGTTTTTTTTTTTGTTTTCCAGGTTTAGCCCAGAAGCTCTCAATTGGCTGTTTGTCAAGGGATTGCTTGGCTGGTTTATGCAGGTTGCATTGCTCAAAATAATACTCCTTTCATTGGGTAGTGGGGAGGCACCCTTGTTAGACATGGTTGCATATGCTGGGTATACTTTCACAGGCATGTGTTTTGCTGTACTTGGAAAGATCTTACCTGGATACTCTTACTACATTTTGATGCCATGTACCTGCCTATGTATGGGAATTTTCTTGGTGAAGACAATGAAGAGAGTACTCTTTGCAGAGGTGAGGAGCTTTGATTCGAGCCGGCACCATTATCTCTTGCTCCTCATTGGTTTGGTTCAGTTCCCACTTTTTGCATGGCTTGGAAATGTTAGTGTTAATTGGTTTCTCTAAACTGCATTCTGTTATGTAGTAGTTAGAAACATGTATTTGTAGAGTTACGGAATATCAGAATTTTTTTGCTACATTAGCTGATTTACAGGCAATTGTTTTGCTGATAAGCATGTGAATCCACTTCGCTTTTCACCCACATTGAAAACTGGGAAAGTTTATGTTGTTTTATGTGTTGAGAAATTGTAAGCTGCAACATTATAGATTAATTATCTTATGGATGAATGCAAATTTATTCAACACTGGAAATGCGTTAATGGATGGTACAGATTATGACACATTCTCCTTCACTAGAACCACTGGACTTTATTTTGGATGCAAATTCAACTTGTATCCCACACGTGATTAGGAAGTAGAAACTTATCCCGTTGGAAATTACCGCTACTATAAACTGAGTATAGAGAATTTTCATGATGATCAACTGAATATGGTAACTTCTCAAGTCCTGTGATCTTGCTGCCCAACACACCAAGCCTGGCCTTTGTCCTCTGCAAAAGCGTATGTTCAGTGGACAGCTTAAAGCAATTGCGGGCAAGGCTGTTGCAAACTGCCACTGTCTGTCAATGTACTGCGGTGAAGGATTTTCCGTTAGAAAATTGTCTTCTAAGAACAAGATTTTCCATGAACTCCCCGGTTTAGGTCCATATTCTACTGGGATTCGTCCAGAGAACTGATTATGGGAAAGATCAATCATTGATAATCTTGCTACGTTAACTAAACTGATGGGTGGATACCCGTGCAACCAGTTAGGGTGTGCATCCAACACTCGAAGCTGTAAATCTGCCGAAGGGTATGGTATTACCTCCATTTCTGTGAATTTATTAGTTGGGATATTTAGGCGTACTACCGCAGGCAAAGTGAGAACTTCCTTAGGAATGGGACTTGAAAGCCTGTGATCCCTCAAATCCAGTACCGTGAAGTGTATGAAGACACTTGCTGGTGAAATGTGTCCTGATAGAACATTATGGCTCATAGACAATCTTCTCAAGTTTATTGGAAGATTAGGCACAACTCCTTTTAGATTGTTGCTACTAAGATCTAATGTTTTCAGCTACCACAACCAGAGAGGTCCGGAATGTCGTTTGCCCAACAATGCGTTGTTTGACAAGCTTAATTAACCGCACCAAGCTTCTCAAAGTGGTAATATTGGCTGGAATTCTGCTAGAGAGGTGGTTTTGTGACAGGTCTAAGATTTTAAGATGCTTAGATTGATGATTCCATGAGGCATTATGCAGTGAGGAGATTTTGAGACGATAATAGTCTGTTGAGCTTTTGAAGGTTAGCTATGGTTTCTGGTATTGGCCCTCGAAAATTGTTTTTGCTTATTCGAAGGGAGGTGAGCTCCATTAAATTTCCGATCAATGGTAATAGAAAGCCATCATATTTAGCGGCATCAAGATCGATTGCCATTATACGGTTGGCTGATTTGTCTGGAGGCTCCCTGAAACCCCCCTGAAGCCTCGCGTGGAAAGTTTTCTTTCAAGTGAAAAACTCATGAACCGTGATCTATCAGGGGTAATTTGGCGAAAAAGGGAGCAATTTCCTTTTCCATCATATCATGTGCCATCCATTGAATAGTACAGAACATTTCCTTAACGTTCAATTTTAGATTTGCAGGCACAAACCCTAGGCGATGAAGCTTAACATTGAGTGCAGCATCTCGACCAATCTGCATTTCCAGGGAAAGAATAACCATAGCTAGTAACGATCCATATACTAGCTAGTAATGTTCTAGCACGATGTGCAAACGAGCAATAGTTGAGAATTATATATTTTTGTTATTACAATCAAGAGCACTGATTGATGTAATTCCACTTTCAAAGGCAAACAAAAATACAGGAAAAGGTAGAAAATGAATCCATCGAACTAACTGTGATGCTACTCTCAGCTCTCTAAATACACGAAGTTTCATGCATGTTTATGTAAATACAGACTATATACATACAAAGATGCATATAGGTACTTATGAAAGTATGCATCGTTCTTCAAAAGTTCAACTCAAACTGCGGAGTTTAGCACCATGAGTTCAGCCAAGATCAGGTACGGTGAAGAACTCATCATCATCGATTTCAATCCTAGGCTTCTTATGGGGCATGCTGAATTTGGGGGGTCTGTGTGAGTTCACATTGGTTGGTGGTGAGATTGGAAGTTGAGGAACTTCAGCTGCTGCTAAAGCCTCCTGAGGAAGTTGCTCACTGAAAAGACCCATGTCAGCCAGCCAGTCAAACTCTCCTAGCCCAAGTTGCTCTTTCTGCGCAGAAAAGAAACAAGAAGTCATTGAGATTTCAAAGACAGAGGTCAATCCAACAGTTCCGACATCAATTTTGTTCATGTAACAGGGAAACAAAAAAACACATGCCCACGTTTTGCACAGGCAGGGTTGGATGCTCAAAAGCATCATCAAAATGGATAAACAGAAAGTGACCGCTAGTTTCTATATTCAAGGGAGCTACTGTAAGCCCCTTGTTCTCCGATTGATGGAAAACTGATCATTTAGGGTTACGTTGAGGGTCAACTATGTCAGGACGAACCATATACCATTACACAATCAATCAATGGTGCGAGACTCCCACTCATCTGATCTCAGGGGAAGAAATACCCACTTTCTCCCAACTTTTTCATCCCTTTTGAAGACAGTATTGTTTGCAAACAAAATCCAGGGGACATTATTGAGCCCATACAAAAATTTCTTATTACCTTGTCAGTGGATTCTTCAAAGTCAGAGAACTGTAGAAAATCATCAACAGCCCAAGAAGAGCCAAAACTCGATGCATGCTGCCAAGGCAACTTGGAAGTTTGTTGTTCGCTCTGATTCGGTGGCTCTAAAGAACTCTTTTGAGTGTCCTTGGAGCAACTAGAGCTTAAAGCCACTCGGATTCCAGTGGCCAGAAACCGCTGGTGATTCGCAGAAAGGCTACCAGCTGAATGGATTGGTTCATCACAATCCCGGCAAAAGAGGGCTCTGTCTTCAACACAGAAAATGAAAGCAGCCTTTTCCTGAAAATCAAATTAATTAGAGACACAGATGAGAAAAACTTCACAACCATAAAAACAGAAGTTCATAGAAATTCAAAAACTCAACGAGAGCATTGCGGTTGTCACTTGATAAATAATTAAAAACAAGCATTTTAGATATCAAGTAACTTCATCTTCTATTAAAACAGGGTTTAGAAGGAACCCCCCTAAGATAAACCGGACAGAATCCGTATGGCATCATCCACACATTGACTAATCCAGGCCGCCTAGGTGAGGTTTGAATCCAAGATGAGTGCCTTAACCACAAATCCCTACCTACTCCCTTCCCCATGGACTAAACCTGTGAGACTCTTATCTCTTTCAATATAACTTATGTCTCTATCATGAATCGCCATAAACTCATTAAAATTCATTAAATATACAAATCTACAAAGAATATCTCGGTTTAAACAAGGTATTAATTTACAGCAAAAGTGCCCTTAATAAGTTAATGCTCAAATAGCTGCCAAGACAAACTACAAGAACTTGATTACACAGTTATTATTCAAGATCTCACACCCTATCAGCAATGATTCCTTGGGGTTTTTCCCCATCTTATGATTACTTGGAACTCAAAGTGAGCATAGATAAATGAAAACATACTCAAATTCCTTACTCTGCAAACACCAAATCATAAACCAGATAGATAGATCACAATTCCAAAAGCAAGATCTGATAGAAAATTACAGAAACAAATTACAACAAATCAATTAAAAATTAGTACCAAAGGTGAGAAATGAAATTACTTGGCATATATCACATGGAGGCAGCTTGTTGGAGAGGCTCTGGAGAAGAAGTCTTTGGTGTTTGCTAGCAAGCTTGTTTGCTGCATGAACTTCTATGTCACATTTTTCACAAAGGGCAGCCTCATCAGCACAACAAATCACTGTGGCTGGTGCTTTCTCACACACATCACACTGAATTTTCATCTTCTTGATTGAAAGTTAAATCAGATCAAACCTCCACCTCTCTTTTAGCAGATCCCTTGTTAGTTCACCTTCTCTAGTTTCTTGCAACCTCTTGAGCGGTCTCAAACTATGCCAAGGTACAGTAAATGAGACAGTGAAACATATGTTTCAAAAAAACTACCTGAAATGCTGATCTTTTTTTCCCAATAAAGTGCAACCAAGCAACAAGAGAAAGAAAGAAGATTTGGCCAAGAACGCAAACAACAGGAGGAAAGAAGAGGAGAAGAGAGGAGAAAGAAGAGAAAGACGAGACCTAAAGAGAAGTAATGTAAGCTAGAATATGTGGAAGATACAGAAAACTGATTGCTTGGTGCAGAATCCAAGAAGCTGAGTGTGTGCAGATAAGACCTTGATATTTTGTGAATCAAAACCAAGAAATGTGGAAGAGACAGCAATGCATGGTGGGGCCAAACTCCATGTGTGGCTGTGGTTTTGTAAGCAAACAGCAAGTACTTATGGTCCATGATTATTTTCAGACTTCCTTAAGAGTTGAATTGGTAAGGCGAGGAGGGCAACATGCACGCATTTGTCTTCTTGTGTGGCCACTTGACATAGAACATTCATGCATGCCAACTAACTTGATGTAAGATTTTCGAAACCTCAAATTAGTCTCCAAACTGTTCATGAATTCTTGATTGAATCTTTAAACTAAAATTTTTTCAATTGGGTCTTTAAAGTAATAGACATTCCTCAGTTTTCCTTCTTTTGTTCATGTCCCTTTTTTTTATTACAGGAAAAAAAAAATTATTTTAAAGAATGTTTTGAATACATTTCCTTCATGAAATTATGATGATTCTGGTCAGACATGAAGATTTTCAAACTTATTCGATAATATTTATATATCCATGTAAACTCGCATAAAAACATAAGAGATTTTTTCTTTTTTTATTCATTATAATGCAACTGAAGAGAGTTTAATGTTATTCATCATGGAATCATGATGATTATTTAAGCATGAAATTGCCAGTAAAATATTATTGAGGAGATTCTCCAACCTATTCAACAACTAAAAAGTGTTCATATTCGTGTACAAAACATAAGAAATTCTTCTTTTTTATTCATTTATGTTGGAAACAACACTATTTTGAATAGAATTTGATGTTTTTTTCATGAAACTGTGACTTGATTAAAAAAATATCTGATATAGAAAAATAAAATTGATAAAACTAATTATTTTAGGATGAAATTAAGATTTTCATACATAAAAGAAGACAATAAAGTCCCCCCCTGAGATTTTATTAATTTTGATGGATTGCATTTCACACTCTTTAAGTTTTGCTGAAGTAATAGCTCTGATTCATGAAATGACTTGTCATTTATCACATGGATGGAGGCGTCTTCAAAAGTTGCTGTAATGCCAGTTGAGGAGGTCGCATTTAGATCAGTCATTCTAGGGTTTCTTAGTTGTCTTTTTTTAGTAAAACCCAACTTTAGCATATGAATCGAAAAAATATCTAAGTAATTCATAATTATTTATTAAAATTAATTTAAATATTATTTTCATTAAAATAATATTTTTTTATGTTAATTGGATAATCGAGCCACTAAAACTCGGTGAGATAATTAGATTCTTCAGGTTAATATTTTTTTGAATTAACTGGAGTTTATTTTTTATTTTGATAGCAATTGTTTTTTAAACTATTTTTTATTTTAAAATATATCTAAGAAAATTCATGTTTGTTGTTTAAGTAATTCTTTATAGTATTATATCAAAATGATTTGTAAACAAATAAAAAATATTATTTTTTCACTTGACTATGTTAAAGAAGAAAAAAATTCAAATCTTTTAAAAAATACTTATAATTCAAGCTATACATTGTTCGTAGTTTTCCAGATGAACTCTTTCGTGTGAGACTAGATTTAACAACTACAAAAGAAAATTTGACCCCCAAGTAAAATAATAAGAGCTCATAAAAAAGAAAAAGAAAAAAGAGAGAGGATAATTACTTGATTTAAAAGCAGCATTATTATTAGATCATATACATAATTATGATTCAGTCATCAATATAGTCACAAGGTGTTGCCAAATCTTGGTGATTGATCTGCATGAACTCAGAATTGATCACTGCATCAACTCTCTCCTCTTACCAATCCAGGGTGCAAAGCATCTTACACTAGAAAGAATCAAACATGGCAACCCCAAAGAGAACCTGAAGACTTTGATGCGAATCCTTCTCTTACAAATCTCTTCACGGATGTCCGAAACAACTCCTCTGACAACCTCGTTGATCTCCTTCACAGACCTCCTCAGCTTGTCCCTGATGCCATTTTCTTCTGAGAAATGGTAGCTGCTTAGAAACGCACGCCTTGCATTGCGATAATTGCTCTCATAACTGTCTTCCCAGGTATCAGAAAACTGGCGGAGAGAATGCTGTCTTCCATGGCCGGACAAGCTGGATGCCATGACTGGACAGACCTGATCAGTGTTCGTCATGGCCAAAGGTGGTTCAAGAAATCGGACATGGTATTAGTAGCATTATGGGATGTAGATTACCATGATGTGTTTATAAATAAACAAATAACCTTGGATTATGCTATTTCTTAATCCAAGATGGGTTGGTGGTTGAACCATTGTGGAAATGTTTAAACAAGGTTGTTGGGTTTTGTTGCACCCAAAATCATCAGCTGTACTAACTAATTCGATGATTAACTGTTAATCTTGACATTAATTGTGTAGGGTACTCCAAATAGTCAGTGCCGGAGTCAGTATTTTTTTAATAAGGGGATAAATTATTAATAAATATTATATTATATAAATATGCATTAAAAATTAATTTAAAAATATTTTTAAATTAAAAAAAATTACATTATAATTGTTTTTTTTCTAGTTTTTATATTTTAAAACTATTTCATAATAGCTTCATAATTGATCTTGTTAAAGATATTTTTCTCAATATATACAACCAAATTATCATTCATCCACTTATCTCACATCTTATTCCGCAATCTACTCTTGACAACATGTATAGCAGAAAAAACTCTTTTCACTGTAAGAGTTTCAACTGGTAGAAGCAATGATAATTTGATAAGTATATATATTAATAAAAATATCAAAAAATTTTCTCTGCAAGACTAGTAATATTTTCAATACTAGAGAACTCATCATCACCATGTAAATCAATAATATATATATCAAGTTAGTCACTAAGCATCATAAGATCCACTATAGAGAATTGAGTAGGATAGAAAAGAGCAAGGTGAAGAAGATTTTCTTTGTTGAAAACAAAGAAAAAATTAATTGGATTTAAACATGTCACACAAAGAAGTAACTCTGTACTCATTTCAATAAAACGATCATCCAACTTAGTAAGTTGCATGTCAATGATATTATTAAACAATTCATAACGAAAATGGTGTAGATTTGTAATTCCTTGAGATTTTCATTTTGAACGCCCATGAAACTTGTACTTATCATCCATGTTTAGAATATCAATATTATGTTTGATGCAAAAGGATACACTTCTTCCAATAAAGATTTTCAATCATTCTCTTTCATTATTTTGAATCATTTTTTTAATTTTTTTAATGTATTCAATAAACTCATAGCATTTTCTCTGTTTTGATTCTTTTCTTGTAATATTTGTGAAAACTCATTAGTAATTGCTAGTATCCTTTTCAAACAATAAAGCATAAATACAATATTAAATGATTTCATAATATCTATTTAAACAACTATTTTTGTTATCTGTTCTGAGTTCATCCCATCCTCCCTTATAATCTTAAGCACATCAAGAACTGATGAAAATATTGTAAGTAGATGAATAATTATAACATAATGAGAGCCCTAACGAGTATCACCATATCTTTTAAGAAAAGTTTCTTGATTCAAACCTCGTCCACTATAATTTTTTTCATTTTCAAGTTTTTCAATAATTTTAGTATATTGTTTTTTTTAATTACCTCTATCTTTTTGTATGATGCTCTACCTATATTTATAATGCTAGAAATAAAATTAAAAACATTTCCAACTATATTTTTAAAATTGTAGCATTGATTTGATATAGAAACAAAAGGGAAAGGGGAAAAAATTTATGAATAAACTCTACATATATATTATATTATATAATATTATATATCAAAAGGAAAAAAAGAAAAAAATTATTGAATGAGCCATGTATATTATATTATATTAATATATAAGCCAACAAATATAAACAATAATAATTTCTCTTTTTCCTTCCCCTATGATAATAAATTTTGAAATTAATATATTAATATTAAAAAAAATTAAGAGGGCAATTGCCCTTTTTATCCTTCAGTGGCTCCGCCACTGCAAGTAGTAATCAAAGCATGGCAAATTCTAGAGGACAAATTTGTTAGTCCTCAAACAAGAATAACTCTCAATTACATAGACACTACACGATCAAACCATGCTCATTGAAACTTATTGGCAGATCCGATTGGGAATTTGATTTTTCTAGGAGACCCAATGGAGGATTGGGACAGGATCTTGTTTCAAAAAGACAAAAAGGGAGACGAGATCGTGCCTTCTTTTTGCCTGTTACGATGAACAATGCACAAACCTTGGTAAATGGCTCCTTTGTGTTGGGAATTGTGGTGAGAATATATAAAAATTGAAAGTCGGTTATTGTTTATATGAGAAATAAGTCATGTTAATATATTTTTTTAATTGTGTGGGTAACAGCTTCATGTCTTAGCCAGAGAATACATCTTAAAAAATAATAAAATAAAATTCATAATTATAAAAAAATAAGGAATAAAATTAGAAAAAATACAATAAAAAAGGATAAAAAAGAAACATATAGCAATAAAAAAACTAAAATTAATATAAAAATAAAATGATAAGAAATGAATTGAAAAACAAAATTTATTTAGAAAAAGTATAAAAAAATAAATAGTAATTCATAGAATGAGAATCAAATATAATATAATAAATAAATAAAATCAAATGATAAATGATGAAATTAAAAAAATAATTATTTATAAAAAATAAAAAAAAAGTAGAAGTCAAATGAATAAATACCAAATTATATAAAAAAACAAAAAGAGACTTTTGCTTTTTATGTAGTGGAATAAATAAAAAATGAAAAGGAGAAGAAAAAAGTCCACCAGAAATACAACATTAACTTGCCATTAGTAAGATCTCGGTGCATCGCTCTTAACGCATATTAATCACCAAGGTAGGGCATGAAGCCGTTAACCAAATAATTAAAAAAAGTATATTAACATGACTTATTTCTCATATAAACAATAATCAATTTTTAATTTTTTAGTTTTTGTGTATATAATTTTTAAATTCAACTTACAATGGTGGTATCATCTAAGAAACTTAGAATTCAGAGTTTGATGGGGGGTTGAATTTCCTGTTA